CAAATCCGAAATTTATTGGTAAGCTATATTTAATACGCTTCCAAGGAACTTATATTAGATATATAAAAATCATCTACGGATTTATCTGAGAATACGTCTTTGATACAATCGCGGTAATATCGAAACGTTCGATACTACCAATGCAATATCCAGATGCAAATAATCACGAGAAAGGCTCGCAATCTCTACGGCGTGATCGGAAACGTTTAGCCTCGGCAAATGCAATCGGACGAAATTACTTACCCTGATGGTATATGCCGCGAATCCCGAAAAATACACGCGCGACCGCAATAAAGAGATTGGTATGCCCGCGTTCGCAGGCGAATTTATTTTCTCTCGGTCCACTGCGCGTTCGAGATCGGTAAACATCGCGTTGCAAATTAACATCGCTCCATGAAACTCGGGAGCGATTGGCACCCAACGTTCTCCCTCGGGAGAAACGAAATATTTTTCGATGACCGAACGTTTAATTGAAACTAGTTAATACGTCGATGCTCGCGAAATATCAAATTTGGGATGTTATAGCTTTTACGAAATATGCCTTCATTTAGAGAAAGGCTAAAAAATTTTTTATATCCCACATGGATTATATGTATTATATAAATTAATAAAAAGAAATTAACTTTTTAAATAAAAATCATTTAAAATGCTAAAAATAAAAATGTATTGAGATTACAAAAATTATTCATTTTATTTTTAGTTTAGCCTTTAAAAAATTATCTGTCCTTTTTCTATTCGTTAAATTTTATACTTTTTTATATTGGTTTTCGCAACGATTCGTAATAGGATGAAGTTGGCTAAGTCGTACCGATGGTTAAATCGTACTTCCATTATATTTTCTAAACAAAATATTTTTTTTTTGAGATAATGACACTACTGTGACGCTGATATTAAGAACTATCTTTTTTTTTGTCTTCGAGTCATCTGTTTACGATTGACATTTAAAATTGATTTTGTTTGGTGTCTGATCAAAGTTTGGTAGGTAATTTATCTAGGTGTTATCAGTACAAGGTAGGTAATTGAATTATAGTGTTCTTCATGGTTGTAATTTAAACTCTTTTCGAGTATAGCATCAAATTAGTAAAATATTTGCAAGTTATGTTGCTATTGGTAAATTTGTAGAAATAGAGGGAATTGGGGATTGAAATCGTACTTGTCGCTAGTCTTTATTGTACTGATATGATTTTTAATAACGCGAGCAATATGTGGAGGTTACTAATATTATGATAAAAAAAGATTAGAAACAAGACCGTTTATGTTAAATACATTACTTTAATCATCATTTAATTATCATTTCTGAAATTAATTTATTTAAATGAATATATATAATAGTTCAACCATCTTAATGTTCAGAGTGACGCTTCATATTTAAAGATAAAAAAGGACTTACAGTGGACTGGATTCAGTGTATCAGGTGCTGTAAGTGTTTGCACAAAACCCGTAGTGACAATCTTGACATTTGTCAAAACTGTTTAAATAAGCGTTCAAGAAAGTGATTACTTATCAACTATTAAGTCTCTATATTAAATCTTTTCTATTGTGGAAAAATCCGTAATTGATTTTTATTTCTAAAATTTATTTTTTCAAAATATCTGAGATTTTAATATTCTGAAATATAGTGCAATGATAGCTTAAATTAATTTAAGTATTGTTTTTAATTTGTTTTCTTAAATGAATTTAAAAAACATAGAATTTAATTTCTGTTTTTATAATAGAAAAGTTTTTATTATATCTACTTAAATATATATATACTCAGTTTGAAATAAAAAATAGATTTATTAATAAATGACTTTCAAATTAATTTTATTCATTTTCTCAGTAAATAAACTGACGTTATTTACTGTCATTTTGACGTTAAAGATGTCATTTTAATGTCAAAATGACAATAAGCAATGTCAGCTTGTTTGCTAGGAACTAGGTGATATAATTTAATAACCCGGTCTCCAAATTGTACCAAAAGCTACTTTTTTAAATCTAATTTAAACAATAATTTAATGTTTATTTTGGTAAAAGTATCGTTTTGTTTTATTACCAATAAACCAAAGTTTAATGTAAGTAATATTCTGATCTCTTTAGTACTTTTATTACAATTTTGATTAAACGTTAGGAGATACGATATAGGCGACTTCCCCCTAAATGTAATAAAAATAATCCATAATAAATATAATCATTTTATCAAAATTATTTTTTTTTATTTTTGTATTTGTTTGTTATTTTTAAATTTTATAATTTTATCTATTGCTTTCTATAAAAATTAGTAATAAACCGTATCAAATATTAAAATAAAAATATATTTGAAAAAATCTCGTTTGATTTTTAATTAAATCCTTAAAAATTATCTAGATTTTTGTATTCGTCCGTTACCTTTAAATTTTATATTTCTGAATATTGCTTTGTGTAGAAATTCGAAATAAAACTGTAATAAACGTTGAAGTAAAAATGCATCAAAATTGCAAGAATTATTCATTTTATTTTTAGCTAAACTCTTAAAAATTATATTTTCTTTTTTTCTTAAATTGTTTATTACCTTTAAATTTACATTTTTTTGTATATTGCTTTTTGCAAAAATTCGTAATAAAGAATATGACTATTTGTAATATACTGACACAGAGTACGTAATAAAGTATAGTATATATCTACATTAACTATTTTTGTGACTGCAATATATCTCTGATTTTTTCCATTTCTATATTTCTTGTGCTATTTATAACATATTTTGTAATAAATCAATAAAATTTTTCCAAAGATTCTGATATCCTATATTTTTATAACACACAATACCTTTTATAGGCATATTTATTACATTCATATAAAAATAAATACACACACACACCCACACACACACACACACACACACACACACACACACACACACACACACACACACACACACACACACATATATATAATATAAAGTAAAAATAAAAAATAAAAAATTCATATTTGTTAAAAATAACGACATTTCTCGTTAAAAATAAGTAAAAAAACATAAATAAATAAGAGATGTAGCTAAACCGTTATAAGCCATACCACAATTTATCTTTCTTATTCATTATTCTGTTTAAGAATTGCGAGCGATTTTAAATTCCTTTGAATATTAATTGGATACACGTGAATGGGAATACCGAATATCTTTTGAACGTAATAGAGTTGCATATTATAGGTAAAAGTACACAGCAGCGTTGAGAAGTAATGTATTACTTGCAACATCATTATCGTTACAATTACTTTTGTAAATGGATAACTGCGTTGCATTTCTTTATTTATAACATTAATAATAACGTAGTTATTTTTTTTAATAATAATATAATTGTTACCTTTATCTTTATTTTTTACACGTACAATATATGTACAGTATCCTCCATAAATTTAAAAACACCCTACGTTTTACAGGAAAATCTATTACATGACAGCGATCTATACATATATTTTTGATTTAAATACGTCAAAAATGTATAAATTTTTATCTAGAACATCTATAAGCTTGTACATGTCGAAAATATGTCGAACAATCATTTCACAGTATCGGAACGCTCAAGGTTGAACTACGCGCTTTGGTTTATTATTTATATATTGTCACTTGTTTTGCAACGTCGTACTTGCGTGCGTTGTACGAGTATATACACATCACAGTTCGTTTAATTGTAGTTTTAACAATTTCGATAAAGGTGGTAAATTATTTGAGTCGCAAATTGATTTCAGACTCCATAAAAATTGCAAAACGGCCCCGAAGAATCAGATTTGAATTGCCAGATTTAATGAAAATTCCATAGTTTAATAGCACGTTATTATAAATAACGTATGTACGCATATATACTTTCATTTCTTTTTTCAATTAAATAATTATTTACAAAATATATCGATTTTATTATGTAATTTTTTTTCTTAAATCACACTTATTGCACTTTTGTAATGTGTTTCCAAACTTATAGAGGGTACTGTACATAGAACGTGCATAATCGAGTTTCAGAAAAAGTAAGTGTTACATTTGACCACATTTCAATTAACACAACTATTTTAACCATTATAGATCTTGTACTAAATTGATCAATTAGTGACCAAGACCGTATTGGCCTCCTCAAAGAGAAATAGAAGACAAGAGCCATTAATCGAAGAAGTGACCAAGACAATTAGATGCCACTCTAAACACGAAGTCAAAATTCGATGAAAAAGTAACGGAAATTAATGACTTTATTATTTTTTGAGTAACGATAATGATTACTTTTTAAAATCAGTAACAATAAAGATAACTTCGGAAAAAAGAACGGTAACAGTAACAAGTTACTTTTATAATGTAACTTTCCCAATCCTGATACACAGTAATTAAGTCTAATGGGCTTTCTACAGTAAACTATTACCTAACTCAATCCGTGAGAAGTTGACCAATCACGGTCGAATGTGAGAAGAATAATCGATCATGATTAGTCAATTTCTCAAGATTGAAAGGTAATGGCTTATTTTATTGTAGAAAGCCCATAAAAATAACTTAAACCGTGTACGCGCGCGTTAGTTTAAAATTTGAAATTAACGCGGTTCCCGCGCGCGTGAAGGCCACCACACGTGACTCGTCTGAAGTCAGGCACGTCTCGTGACTTCGAAAACGGAGCGAACGGTAGCTACGTAAACACATAGGGCAAGAGACGTAGGTATACATCCGTTTGAAAATAATTTCCCACGATACATTCAACGTGCGTCCTTGACCTTCGTGTCCCGCGACATCACGTAACCGTCATCTTCGCAACCGTTCTCGGAGAGACAATTTCCTATGGAAACTCAGCTGTGATCTCGGAACGGCGCGGGGGCAAGTAACTTTTCGTCTGCGATATTCAAGCGTCTCTCACGGGGGTCCCTCGGAGAGAGGTTGCCACCTAACGGTATTCGCGTATCTCGACGGCCAAGAGCGAAAGGAACACGATCACATGTCGGCTCGTGACGCGCAATCGGAGTAGCGCGTGCGAGGCACGTCGAATGACACCAACGCATATGAAATATGCACTCACCCTTCACGTTTGAAAATCGCTGTCGACCTGGTCCCTTTTGCTTCAGATTCACGCCTCAGGAAGGAACGCGGAAGAGGAGAGGATGCGATGCACTAGAAGCGAAGGCTCCGCTGCTACACCCAGCGAGGTATGTACTTTCCTTCGAAGTAATTCGCGAGGAAGAAGAGAGACGCGATCCGCGCCGCGTCCTCGTGTCCCGCGTTAACAGTCCACGCCGGCGACCTGCAGACTGTTGGACGACGACGTCGAATCGTCGCCGTCGCGCGCGCGCGAGTAACCACACCGAGCGAGCGTACCGCCGCGATCTCACTCGCACGACGAAGCACGGATGACTGACTGGTAGACGGTTGGTCGGTTGCTCCGCGCCTCTACTCGCCCCTCTCTCCCCGCCCCGACCCCCCCTCCACCGCGCCGTCCACGATTTCTCTCTCGCTTGCGCCTATTCTATCCCTCCCCTTCCCTTTCTCCCTTCCTCCCTCTCGCGCCTCCCCCCCATCCAACGACCATTTCGCGCCCACAACCCGCACCGCGCGATCCATCCCCACCATAACGACGGTTCGGAGCACCCCCGCTGCAACTTTTCTTGTCTATCACACGTTACGCAACGTACTTTCGATCTCTCTCGAATCTCCTCTCTCTCGAAATCCCCTCGATCTCTCATCGTTCTCTCTCAATCTCCCTCGATCTCCCGTCTCTCTTCGGTCCCTGCCATTTGCTCTCTCTTCTCACTCTCTCTTTCTCTCAGATTTTACTCGAGTCTCTCTCTCTCTCTCTCTCTCTCTCTTTCTCTCTCTCTTACGCGCTCTCTCTCTCTCTCTCTCTCTCTCTCTCTCTCTCTCTCTCTCTCTCTCTCTCTCTCTGGTGCGCCAACGTGTACCGCGTGGGATCTCCCTTTCTATCGTTCGCCAGATGAAAGCACGAGCGAGAGGGCGGATGAGAGAATGAGCGAGCGGACGTGGCGGATGCCAGTGTCGGAGTAATGGCACAACCAGACCCATGGCTTTGATTTTCTTTATGCGTTTGTTTCCACATTTTGCCCGATCCCTCGATCGTTCTTTGATTTACCCCTCTCTGTAGCGCAACTTTTTTTATTCTTATTCAATTTTCGACCGCGGTTTTCCACGCCACTTTACTTCTTCGCCGAAAAGTTCTCCTTTTTTTTTTCGAGTTCAAAACGATTTCCGAGTTGTGGAAAATACAATTTTTGCTGACCAGGGAAAAAACAAAAATGCGAATAAAGATATGTAGGTCAGCGCCGCGCCGGTTAAACGGCGCGTTTTAATATAGGCGAAATATACGCGGCCAAACTTTTTTACTCGTAATACAGTTCGGTTAATTTATTTTTATTTTTCGTCGCGTCGATATATCTCTTATCGAAAAACGCACTTTCTTTATTGGAATAATCATTTTACTATAATGTCGCGCAAATGTTCCGGCTTCACGGAAAATGCAAATAAAGATATATCTGACAGCTCACAGTTGCAGGATACATCGGAGCACAGAGTCAATTTATTGATCTGCAAAATGCAGACTTGATATTGTGAAACCTTGAAATATTGTTTATTTGGTGTGTATGTGCGGTTAGTATTGTTCCTTTTTCAAAACAATTATAGTTATCAGGCTAAATATTTTAACGCAACCTACATAATCTCTGAAAAGACATAAATAAATAGGTATCGATGTGCGTTATTCCGGTATTTATCAGCACATTGTTTCATTATCTTAATTCAATAAATTAACATTTGTTGATTTAACGAAAATGTATATTCAAATGCTAATTAATATATTTTAACAATCGGGATTTACAAATTTTTAAAAAATAATAATTAAATAATAGTTAAACAGTAATAATTATGAGAAGCAATAATTAAAAAGTAACAATATTATTCCGGTATTTATCAGAACATTTAGTTATTTTAATTCAATGAATTAACTTTGGCTGCGTTATCGAAAATGTATATTCAACTGCTAATCGATATATTTTAACAATCGAGATTTACACATTTTTAAGAAGTAATAATTAAGTAATAATTATGAACTAAAAATTTAAGAAGAAAGAATTAAGAAAAATAATATTTTAAGAAGTAAAATAATTTCTCTCATACATTCTCAATCAAGAATCACGCTTAGTTTTTGTTGTTTATTAATATCAGATATAATTCTACAGATTATTGAATAAGGAAGCGTATTCAAGACTTGGAAACTTCTGCAGGAAAATTTTGGAACCAGGTCAAAGTTGGCGTTAATTTGATTAACCTACCAACTATTAATGCCAACTAATGAAATGACGAAAACATTTACTCTGTATCTTAAAATTAAATTATGCAAATATACTCTATGTTTTGCTTCCTATGCCAATAGCTTAATTGCTTTTATTGAAAATATCTATCTTTCGCTCGAATATCATTAATGATATCGCGAATATTAAACGCGTCCATACGTAGTTACAAAATCAGTTATTAATTTAAGTATCCTAATTTCTCAATGTTCGGTAATTGTCTGTCATAGTTCACAGCGTTTAACGTTCACATCGTACTAAAATGGTTTATTGATTTCATTACTGGTGATATGTGATGTTGCACGGTGCATTTTGCTCGGAGGTCTCAGTTAACGTATCCGTTACCGCACACGCACTTATTGTCACATCTCTTCTTTCACAATCATATAATTCAATACAGGGTGCGCTATAGTACCTGAACATTCCTGGGAGTTCCGGCACGAACGCTCTCTTCCATCTCTTCCACCTCCTCCGTTTATTTTCCTTTCCTTTAGCTTCTCTTTCAGATACATAAACACTCGCATATATACTACTCCAGTGAAAACCTTCAGCCACCGGAACGGATAGCAGCTCCTCTCTCAGCCTGACCACTCCGGCAACCGCGCTCTGTATCCCACCTGTACACTGGTCGCGTCATCATTCCGGGATCAGACGCAGACATTGGCCGAGAAAGATGCCTTGAATTCTATCTGTATTTGAAATCCGAACAAGGGCGCCGGCGAACTTTCGATCGGTCCTGATGGTTGCGGCATATCCCTCCTACATCTCACTTCTCTGCCTCTCTCTCTCTCTCTCTCTCTCTCTCTCATTCTTCCTCTACGTACGTGTATATGTATACAAGTACTAGTAACCTTTTTCTCTCTTCTCTATTCTCTCACTCTTTTTCCCTCTCCCGCTGATCATCTCTAACACAGACCATTTCCCTTTCTCCTTCTCTCACCGCAACTTTCCAACCATATACTTCTCCTCCGTACTTTCCGATTCTGATATATCCATCTCGTTTACCTTCCCTGCAAAGGCGGTCCGGCGACAAAGAAGCAACGAATATTGAATGCGAATGTTAAGCACCAAGCGCGCATTCCGATGAAGCAAATGGGAAGTTACATTACTCATTCTTCCTTCCTCCTTCGGAGCTGCTTGGGACTTCTTTCGTCCATTTTCTTTGTGTATTTATATGTATGTATCTTTATGACCGCACTTTATGTACTGTTTTGGAACACTTTAAGTAACGACTCGACACGACTAAACAAAACACTAAAAGGAGTAATAATGACGTCTTCGTGATGTGTTCGTCAAATATATATCAAGTACTTAATAAGTCCATCGTAATAGATTCATTTCTGAAAATTAACATTTTAATGTATTGTTAAAATTATTCTTTTAAATAAAGAATTTGCAAGTTATCGATGCGTAAAAAAATTTTATGAAAAATCTGAATTATATATCGTTCCCTTACTTCAAAAGTGACACAACTAAAAAAATTAAGTTCCCCAGAAAAATGAAAATCTATTTTTTAAGTTGATAAAAAATTATTGACTAATCAAATAATATTGGCAAAAAAATACTCTTAGCATAATCGAATGTCACTTTCGTCATTTTTGTTTTATAAAAAAAAACCATCTTTTTTGAGTTTTAACCATTTTTACGATTTTAATAATCCTTTTTTAATTGTGACGATTTTTTACGAAGTTATAAATTATTTCATCATTATTTGATGACAAGGTAATGTTTGTTTAATTCATTTATAATAACTAAAAAAATCACGTTTTTTGAGTTATGTCAATTTTTTAAATAAAGGAGCAATATAATTCAATGTGACCAAGTTGATTTATATTAAAAAATATAAAAAAACCATATTAAGATGCCTTATAATAAAATCACATAAATAATAGTAATTAAATCAGGGCCTTTAGGCAATCCGCACTGTAATTACTTGACTAAAACCTTAGTCTACTTGAATATATTTCCATTAGTGTGTACATGAACTGATTTATATTTATAGTTGTTTATAGCTCAGAGAGAACAAATGATTTCTCCTTAATGTAATCGTATATGCGCTTTGTAATAAGATATACTCTTAATATATTGCATATTATTGTTTATATGTATGCGTATTTTATGTACGAGTATATCTGTTGTATCATATGTATTGTACAAAATAAGACGCCGACACAGATCTGCGAGGATTACAGCGGAATTGTGTTTCTCTTTCTCTTTCTATTCATGTGCGCACCGTGAATCCGTATCATATTTTCACCAATAAGGAAACCTTTATTCCTCAAGAGTCGACTGTATGCGTGGTGAAATGCTTCGAAAACAAATTCATCAAATATCAGAGCAAGACCATTTTCCTAGCGACCTGGATTTTCACGTTTCTTTCAAAATTCCCATTTACATTGCTATTATTCTTACACCGTAAAAATTTAGAATTCTCTTTCCTCTTTATCATTTTTCGCGCCTAACTACGCAATCTCTTTTCTCGAGATTCTCTTTCGAACGAGTATCTCCATTCGGCCCTTAATTTCTCAGCTCGTAACATTGCTGACAAAAAAATAGTTACATAGAAAAGAATTCCTACCGTTGTCGTTATCGGCGAACATACGGATATCCAATAGATAAGATATTATACTCGTATATTCTCGTTATCGGCTCCTTTCTAAGCAGGTATCTTGTGCTTCGCAAGTCAAGCGATATCGATCCTCCGATTCAATACTTTATCGGTTGGTTATTATAATACGAAAGTGTGCAGTAAAAAAGCTTTTTTCTTTGTCACTGTTTTTTACGCGCCTTCGAAAGAACACTTTATAATAATTGTAAAGATTATAAACAGATTTTAAATATTAATATAAAAATCTATTTGGATAATATTATAGATTACGGTAAATTCTTTTTTTTTTATTAATTTTTATTAATTTTTTTACATAAAATAATACAAAAGAAAGATATATATAATATTATAATATAAAATAAATTTCACACATATCACGCTTTTATGATTTGTGTCATTTACATTCTATAATAATATTAAGTAGTTAT